GAGCAACACACAAGTTTCTTGCTTGTTCTTCTTGTGATGAGACAGCATTCCGAATGAGCGGTAGATTAAAAAAAAAAAAATGTTATGACTATTCAAAAGTGCTTCAATGTAAGTTTATTTGAATAAATGATTTTCTATTCTTCTATTCTATTCTAACTTATTACAGTATATGTTAACGATACAGATAATTAAAGTTTTTTTTTTAATGAATTTATTCAAATTTCAAATTCAAATTCAAAAATCATTTATTCATATAGGACATTTTAGCCGCTTATGAACGTCAAGTTTTTATATTATAATTCCCTACCGTCCAGTTCGGTATATAGATCCAATTGAGAAGAACTGGCAAGAAACTCAATTGAATTACTTTTTTTTTAAAGCCAGTTTATTTACAATGTATTTTTATATAGGTGTCTATGTTATGTTTAAAAAAAAAGAACATATTGCTAAACCGTCGTAACGATATATCGGTAGTTATATAATCTGTAATATGTTCTATACTTAATATTGCAAACAGAACTCTATTCCTGTTATTATTAAGCACATAATATATATATTCGGTACGTTTTAAATATGTTCCACTTGGCGACTGAAATAAGTGAGCTTGTATTATTCACAAACAATGAATCAAATTAAAACGGCACTCTGGTAGTGATTGCTCTTAAAATATATTTTTGTCGCTCTCAAAATTGCTATTTGCATGTCGTACTTAATAAGGTAATGAAAAAGGAACAGAACTGGACATTTACATTTACATAACGCCCACACGCTGTTCATTGAGAACGTTTTAGCCCTGGCGTGGTCCGTACATAATAGTTTAGTTTAAGATGGCGATGGTATAGGATTCATATTTTATTTCTGAAAACTATTCTTCTCAATATATTCATGAAAATATCATGTATGCCAGGAAGAATATAGACAGTTTCAAAAGAGTTAGTGATTGCACTAATAAAAGCTTACGTATCAATAACAAACTGATTTTACCTAAATGTCGTTTGGCTAAAGTTAGTAATTCGTTTTATGGCAATTGCGTAAGGTTTTACAATAAAATACCAGAATCTGTTATAAATCTGCCAGAAAAAAGATTTAAATGTCAAATAAAACACTTCCTTTGCAAAAAAGCTTACTATAAAATTGGAGAATTCGTTAACGATAATAATGTTTTTGTAGAAAAATTTTAAATACATAGCACTGACAATATTATCTGATTACACTAATAATGAGTGCGTAGCGATTTCTATGTTGATTGTCGCATGCCTCTTACTCTCTTACTTACAGTGTAACAAACACTGTAATTATTTATATAAAAAAAACATCTATTAAAAAGAGCAACACACAAGTTTCTTGCTCATTCTTCTTGTGATGAATCTGCATTCCGAATGAGTGGTAGAATCAAAATATGACTATTCAAAAGTGCTTGTAATGAGTTTATTTGAATAAAGATTATTTCTATTTCTATTTCTATTCTCAGATAGGTAAGTTTAGAGGGCCCTCTGTACTCGCCTCCTATCCTATTTGTAATAGCCCAAGAGCCCATGACGGCCAGACATACGTCATGTTAGTAAACGTGAACCACACTAAGGGTCTGGCAACGAGCAGAGCAAGTTATAATACTGTTACGAGCAATATGTGAAAAATGGAGCATCTTAAAATAACGAATTTGATATTTATTTATTCATTTATTTCAGGCAACTAGGCCCATATTATAAATACCTTATAGACTAACATACATATATGTAATATAATATTTAAAAACCAATACAACTATATTGTCTGTGTGATCACTGCACTGAAGACGGCAATCTGCCACGGTAGCACCGATACACCACACCTTTCGGCCAGTAGTCCTCTCATAAAGGTGGACAGCAAGTCGGTGGGGACCAGGGCCACAAACGCTTTGAAACTCGCGTTGTGACTCGACTTCAGCTGCGTCACCCTCAATGTCAGGTTACTCTTGGTATGAATATAATCGACAATGTCCTGCTCCTTAGTGGCGTAATGTAGACGGGACAGGTATATTGTCGTGGTCGGTGTAGCAGCACGCAGCAGAAAGTTGGGCCCAGTGAGTGCAGTGCCACAATGATTCCTATTGACCCTGTTTGTGCGCGATATGAAATTGTATACACCGTTATTACCCAATATACGGTTTCAATGAGTCTGGTTGGATAAGGAACCAAGAAAACTGTCTGGCAATTTAGGAAACTCAGTTTAATAGTTCTCTCAATAATATATATAAAGTTCAGTTTTATTAAAATGACGTAAGTTTATTTATAAAATAGTATAGTTTAGGAGGGTCCGGCGGGGAGTTGGAACCACACTAAGTGTCTGGCAATGAGCAGCGCAAGTTATAATAATGCTACGAACAATATATGAAAATATGGAGTTTCTTAAAATAACGAATTTGATATGAAATTTTTTACACCTTTGTTACCTGGTACCTGCCAAAGGAACTACGATCCAGGTTTCATGTTTGGGGATCGTTCTTACCTGTGTTGGGGACACACATACAAGAACTTTCACGTTTACTAATATGACGTATGTCTGGCCGTCGTGGGCTCTTGGGCTATAAAGGCCAGTAGCAGTCGACAGCATTATAGGTCAAAGAAAATATATTCTATAGAATAAAAGTCATATATATAGGTGATATCATAAATATTTTATTTACATTTTTTATATATTATGTACAGAATTTTTAATTAATTAGTATCACATTTATTAATAAATGTATTACAATTACAGCTAATTTAAGAAGAAATTCTTTGGTCCATTTACTGGGAGTCTATATACAGCCCGCCCAAACGGTTCATAGTTATTTCTAAATGACTAGAATGGCAAATAAGCTGATGATCACCACTTGCCACCAATGGCGATTGCTTCATCATCAACGATGGCCATCAAACTCATTACGGCATTACCGTTTCAAAGGATTACGGTTTTTGACTTCAACACCCTGTAATGTCACCTCATCATCATCTTCGGTGATTTCGTTGACAGCCTCGGTGGTCTAGTGGCTTAGCACACCGCTTTACTATCCGATGATTGTGGGTTCGATTCCTCGCACGGTACAAACATTTGTATTCATGAGTATGATTGTTTGTATCGGTCTGGGTATTTTCTATGTATCATATGTATTTATTTACAAAACAAAATGTATCCGTGTATTTATATCAGTTGTCTAGTAACCATTACACATGCTCTGCTTAGCTTGGGACTAGATGGCGCTGTGTGAATTGTCCTGAGATATTATTATTATTATTATCGTCCAACCGAAACACAATATACTTCAAAGATACGTTGCGGGCTAGCTTGAATAGGTGACAGGTTAAAAATATGAACTAACAACAATTTCCTAGATATTTTCAAAATATTTTCCAATCCAAATGTATTGAAGTTAACGCTAATATTATAAACCTGAAAAATGTTAGACTGTTTATTACCTTTTCACAAGTAAACTGATTGTATATACATGAAGATAAAGGATCATATGAATGAACAGGACTATTATATAACTAAAAAAAGATATACTTGCGGGAGATAACAAGTAAGTTATAAAAACAATTGTAATAGAATATTTAGTTTAGAAATTAGCTTAGAAACGAAACGTATTCAGACTATATAAATGTTCTATCTACATAAAGTAAATATTCCATTTTAGTTGCTAAGAAAATAGAGAGACCTGAGACGATTTGCAAACAATATTATTTTCTTGATTGAGTCATCATTGAATGTATTGATATAAAATTAATGAGAGTTATAGATTATTAAAAGTTGTCTGCGTGGGTATGCTCAGTACCACCTATTCTAGTTGTCAAGGAGCTTGCTTAACCAATTGTAATTCGATTGCAGGGTCAGATTGCACAGATTAGAATAGAAAATCATTTATTCAAATAATCATAAATTAAGCAATTTTGAATAGGCATAGTCGTTATTCTATCGCTCATTCGGAAAGCTATCTCATCACAAGAAGAACGAGCAAGAAACTTGCGTGTTGCCCTTTTAAATAAACATTGTAACTTTACATTTCAAAACGCGTGAATACAAACCACCAACTAGCACTAATTTGTTAGGGTCAGATATAAAATACGCAATAGGATTAAATCAGTCGCAGTGATTAGAGCAGATTAGTCCCTATAAGCAGTACATACGTTCACGAGTATGACGTATGAGCTATCCATCACTGCGCTCGACCATATTTTAAGGAACCCAATAGCCGATTGGGCAGTGAACAGGAATAATAGACTTAGATATATTTTTTTTATTGGGTTGTTTGGGCTATTGTCAGATGTGTAGCACCGGTAGCACTGCGACCTACATAGATCTATTGTGCTCGCCCTTTTTAGAGTTCGCTACCTAGACCCGTCAGGGACAAGAATTGAAGGATATTCTTAGGAGCGATCGTTTTTATCTCCTCGGGAAAGAGTGTAAACTTTCCAAAGGAGATATTTCGTTTATGCATGAGTGGGCTACAACCACAGAGAGAGATGATGCAGAGAGATATGGATACCCTGCACCTATAGAGTGGCAATGTAGTATAATCACGGGTATCATATGATAACACGATACAAACAACTTACCAAGCTACTTGACAAAAATAGCTCACCTATTTTTGTCAAGTAGCTTGGTAGGTTAGTAACAGAGGTACTTTGGACAAAATCTCTTGATAAACTATTTACCAATTAATTGTCTATAAATAACAATAGACAATTCATAAAGCTTCTAGTCTCAAAACTATACAGAGTCCGTACTGGTCACAGACAATACACAAACTTACTAAATGCACACATTGATACATAATAACATCACTACATACAGATAGAGTCAATATATATAATTTAAATAACTCCAAATGTTCTTCCGATCACAATTAAACTATAGAACACAAATTCATTAATCTCACTAATAAATTCTCACTTATGTAACTCACAATCTGTCCAAAGTAATCGATTATAAAACGATCAATCGATTAATCGTAACGTCTAATCGTACAATGACACCAAACATCAGCGTTTGAAATCGATGTGGCCGTGCCTTTGCAGCATTTCGACGGAGAGTGCGTGCGCCGGCGCAGTTCTACGCGACGAACGCGTCACGTGACTCAGTTGGGTTGTCTGCGCGCGAGTTTCGATGCCGCGTGGTAGTGGTGCCCCATGGACATGGCCGTTGTAGCGAAGTGCGTTCATCTGTATTAATAAAAAAAATACTGATTTAAAAAGGTCTGAGCCTGTATTATGAACGACAAAGATGGGAGAATTGATGTAATCAAAGAATATATTATTAATTTGACGACCTCGGTGGTCTAGCGGTCTAGTGCACCGCTTTACGACCGATGGTCGCGGGTTCGATTCCTCGCACGGCACAAACAATTCTATTCATGAGTTGATTGTTTGTATCGGTCTGGGTGTTTTCTATGTATAATATGTATGTATTTACAAAAAAAAATATCTATGTATATATGTATCAGTTGTCTAGTACCCATAACACAAGCTTTAGCTGGCTTAACTTGGGTCTAGATGGCGCTGTGTGAATTGTCCTGAGATTATTATTATATTATTATTATTATTATTAATATGTGATTCTGCGGGCAAGCGACGATTCTCATTACGGTACAAAAGGATTAAAAGACGATAAAAGAATAAAAAGAAAAAGAAAGATAAAAAAATGTACCAAGCCGACTGACCAACGCTGTAAAGTAAATTAAAGAATGTTAAGTAATAGAGGAAAGATACTTTACATTGTCAAAATTTGATTATGTTTGCTATTTTCTGAGTGTATTAGAACTCAGCATTTTGGTGATCTGGGTCAAGCTTACCGGCCTACCTCAGATATATTTGGTTTAATATTAATATTTCTCTCCACTTTAGAGTCAGTTAGTCAGTCAATTGACAGTGTAAGATTTTGGTGTTGCCCAAATTCAAACTTTTGAAACTTTTGGGCCCTTTATCTTTCAAATATTACAAGTGAGTATATTATTTAACTATTTTTGCATTCTTTGAAACCAACGGTGTTATATTAATATTTACGATAATATATATGGCAATACTAAAGCTAAACATAACTTTCTAAATCTTTAAAATACTAAATAAGTGGGTAGACAGATTTATTAAATATTCTTTATTGCACTTAAATACATTTGTAAGTATATTAATTACAGCTAATGTTAACAAAGGAGGACTTATCTCTAAAAGAGATCTCTTGCAGTCAACCCTATAGAGCGTGGCATAGAAAGTGTTGAGTGGGTTAAAATGTGCAAATAATATTTTTTATAAAAATGTCAAAAATAATTAAAACTAAACATAAAAATATAATGTCCAAAATACAGATACTAATACAATATACATAAAGATAAAAAAAAATATTAATATATAATATGTACTTGAATACCTAAACAAAAAAAAAATTATACTTATCTGCTCGTAATAACTTTACTTTTTCAAATCGAACCAGTAGTTCCTGAGAATAGCGCGTTCAAACAAACTCGTCAGCTTTATCATAATAATAATAATCTCAGGACAATTCACACAGCGCCATCTAGACTCAAGTTAAGCTAGCTAAAGCTTGTGTTATGGGTACTAGACAACTGATACAAATACATAATTTTTTTTTTTTCGTTAAAACATACATATTAAGCATAGAAAACACCCAGACCGACACAAACAATTATACTCATGAATACAAATGTTTGTGCCGTGCGAGGAATCGAACCCGCGACCATCGGACGTAAAGCAGTGTGCTAAACCACTAGACCACCGAGGTCGTCAACATCAACTTTTACATCCATACTTTTTCATTTACATCCACTTTCATCTGTAGTCAACCCTTAACAAAAACATAAAACTGCTAAATATGGGAAGCTCATAAATAACGTAATAATAATAATGGTCTTTATTATGTATAAAGAAACAAATGTTTACAAAAAAAAGAACAACATATATACAACGAAATCATGTTGAATATTCCGTGTATGTGTACAATTATTCAACCCGAGCGAAGTCGAAACAAACTTTATGATAAAATATTAAAACATATTCTACTCACAGTTAATAACATTTTTACATAAATTAATTTATTCCAGGGCATGTTTTCCTAAAACTTTTCGGCCACATAAAAAGATATCAATATTTAAAGTCCGATAAAAGCCTCCAGAAAGCCGGAAGCTTGCAAAATGAACTGTAGATGAAATTGAATTTGCGACCTCCATGTTTTTTCCGTATTTTCGAATATAATCTCTTTCTAACCTGTCATCGAAATATTGAATTTTCTTTCAACGCGTGTTTCCCTATTTTAATAAAAGCAAATCTTTTAAGTAATACGTGAAAATACTTAAAATCTTTTAATAACATATACATACATATATATATGTTACGGGCAATTTGATAAATCAAGGCACAATTAATAATGTCCGGTCTGTATTCATAATGCCCGACTAAATTTGACAATGTGATTAAAATATCATGATTAATCACTTTTCCCGGTCATTATTAATAGTGCCCACCCTATCTTGGGCAAAGTAATAAAATAGGTGAACTGCAGTAGTTAAATGAAATTAAACTTTCATGAAAGTCAACAAAAAATAACAACCTAACCTTACCTAACTGGAATTATTCACACTGCCCGATCCAAGTAATGAATTGAAGCTATTTTAAACGCTGACTTATTACATGGACCACGGGCCGTCGGGCATTATTAATAATGACCGATCAAAGTGATAAATTAATCACTTTGCTTATCACTCTTGGACATTATTAATAATGACCGATCAAAGTGATAAATTAATCACATTGCTTATCGCTCTTGGACATTATTAATAATAGTCGGTCCTTATTAATAATGCCCAGTTAATCACGTTGCCCATAACATATATATACTTACCGAACTTGTGCTAAAATATCAGAATTGCTATGTATGTATGTAACTACTTTATATATATTAGGGATGTTATGGATATGCAATTTCGGATACGGATAAGCTTCAGATATAGGAATTATTATACCAGATACGGATAGAGATGCGGATATGAAATTATTTCGGATTATCCGTTAGTTTAGGATAATTTCGGTCACGAATATTAATTTTTGAAGGATATTCAAAAGGAAAGTACAAATAGCTAATAAAATGGTTACATAACGTGTCTCAATTAGTCTCCGCCCCTATCCGATTATCCGAAACTTTTATTTCGGATTAGTTACGGAGCTCCCTAACATACCCAATATATATATATCTATATAAATGAATATAACTAATATAACTATGTATATATGAATAAGTGAGTTTGCTTGTTTATAACCGAAAAAGTACTTTCATTTCACGTCTCACATATTGTCATTATTCTATAATAAAAATCAATATATCATACAATAATGTCAGGGAAATTATTATATGAATATAGTATAGATTACAGATATAGAAAAAAATATTTATAACTATAATGTACTGTAACATAGTCATTATACTTATATAAGCTACGGAGGAGTGGAGCCTCCTGGCATAGGCTATTTTATCGTTAAAAGGAGTCTTCAATAGCTAGGACAATAGGTTCATTTACATAAGTAAAGTTCTAGTACTAAATAAAGTAAATCGATTAATTCTGTATTAGTGAATTCGATGTGATTAGTTATTTTTAAACTTTCGTGTTTAAAAATAACTAATCGCATCAGTATACATTATTTAAATGTATACTGATGCGATCGATCGATCGATCGCGAACTTTCGTTGAACAATCTAGTGACGGTAGATGAAGAAACTGCTGTCACCTATCTACATTGACATCGCTGTTACTCCAGTCAGCTCGTGACCACGGCTAGTGCAACCTAGTCGAAACGTCGAGGGAGGTAAATACCTTTATTTGCCATAAAATCATCCGTGTTAAGACACGGTTAATAATTTAATCGATGTGATTACATATATTTTTAATATGAAACAAGATAATAAAAACTTATACAGATTTAAAATAAAAATAGTCTGTTCGATGAATTTAAAAGTTTTTAAATGTTGTAACTAAATTCTATAAGACTAGTCTCAAATGTAAGTTTTAGTATAGTAATATATGTAATATTTACCTGCAAATAACACCTTTTATGTGGCTCATGATATAGATCGTAGTCACTTGATGACCCATCTGGCTTTTGTGTACACCTCCACTGTAAAAGAACTCCAGTTTAAAAGAACATACATGAAGCCGATACAGTTAAGCGTGGAGTGGTGAAATATTCAGGAATGAAAACGATTGAAGTTTACAGCTGTCCGTGTCGCTTGCGCATATATAGCGTGAGGGTAGTGGACGCGTTCGACTGCGGTGCGAGGGAAGTGATAACTGCTATAGGTGTCGCTATCTACGCACAAGCGGTGGGATCAATTTAATTACCAAATAAGTAGGTATACAGGTACGTAACATAGAATTTTACAGATACACCCTACAAACAAACAATATATTTTAACAGTGAAGTATCAATTTATACATATATATAGTAAAAGGTAAATATGGATTTATATATACATTATGGTTATTTCTATATGTTTTATGTGTTTTTATTTTTATTAATATTTTAGTTTTATTTTACAGGTCTGGTTTGCAGTCGCGAGGCACGTCGGCTACAATACATTTTTTATAAGAGATGGTTTGATGAGCTTAGAAAGATTGCTGGCCATTCGATCCGATTTGCAAAAGATGATTCAAATTCAAATTCAAAAATCATTTATTCATATAGGACATTTTAGCCGCTTATGAACGTCAAGTTTTTACATTATAATTTTTTTTCCTTACCGTCCAGTTCGGTATATAGATCCAATCGAGAAGAACGGACAAGAACCTCAATTGAATTACTTTTTTTTAAAAGCTAGTTTATTTACAATGCATAGGTATGTATAGGTATTTATAAAGGTGTCTATGTCTAACATTAAATTAAAATCCCAAATATGAATTGTCCTGAGATTATTATTGTTATCCTTCTCTCTATCGTCTGAGATTTATTATTTATTATTATTATTTTCCTAAATTTGTACATTTTCTGTTATCATTTAAATCTCCTTGATGATCAAGATCACTTTGACGACTTCGGTGGTCTAGCAGTCTAAGCACACCGCTTTACCGACCGATGGTCGCGGGTTCGATTCCTCACGGCACAAATATTTGTATTCATGAGTATTTTCTATGTATAATGTTAGATGTGGAAATGTTACACATTGATATATTGTATAGTTGGTCAGCTTGTGTTCCATTATTGTTATGTTGGCAGCGTTCATTCATTCACTGTTCATTCAATGTTCATTCAATTCGTTCTCTCTCTGAGTTGTACAGCTGTTAGTTACTAAAATATTACTTACTTGTTTTATTAATTAAATAAAAGTTCTATCATAATTACTGCGTTTAAATATAAACATCATATAATATGTATGTATTTACGAAAAAAATATATATCTATCTATTTGTATCAGTTATCTAGTATCCATAACACAAGCTTTAGTTAGCTTAAATTGGGTCTAGATGGCGCTGTGTGAATTGTCCTGAGATTATTATTATATTATATCATTATTATTATAAAAAATCTCATTATATTTCAATAACGTATGAAGTAACTTTTTCCAGTATATAGACAACCTTAAAAAGTAAAATAAATAAACTCACAGTGAATTTTGTCTGCTGACACACCCCACGACCGCACAGCAGCTTCCGAACAGACCGCTGGAAGTTCCTCGTCATCAAACAATATACTATTGGGTTGATTGCAGAATTGGCATGACCTGTGCAAAGAACATAGTAAATTATTAACCGGCCTCAGTGGTGTAGCTGTTTAGTAGCGCTCGCTTCTGATAGCGGGTTCACCGAATATTTTTATTAGATGTAGAATAGAATAGAATAGAAAATCATTTATTCAAATAAATCCACATTGAAGCACTTTTGAATAGTCATTACATTTTTTAATATACCTCCCATTCAGAAAGCTGTCTCATCACAAGAAGAACGAGCAAGAAACTTGCGTGTTGCTCTTTTAAATAATTTTATTGTTACTTTACATTTTTAAGTTTAAGGGTGTGAATACAAACCACCTATTAGCTCTAATTGAATTGAATACTCAAATAGAAAAAAATATTGAATATATAACCAACTGGTTAAACAATTAATAAAAGGAAATCAGTCATAGTGTAGTCATGTATTCAGATGTATTTATTTGCTGTTCATACTATATTTAGTAGTTCTTTATTTGCTTGCTTCCAAGCAAAGGGATCCTCTAATCTTACAATCATACACAATATTACAGTTAGCAATATTACAAACGCGGAAGTTTATCATTGAGGATGGATGTTTATCACACTTTCACGCAAGCAATTTCCTTTTTATGGCACAGCGGATAAATGAGCTTGCGGCTCACCTGATGGTAAGTGATTACCGCCGCCCATCAGCACCCGCAACAACAGGAGAATTGCAAGTGCGTTGCCGGCGTTTAAAAAAGGAATAAGTTCTCTTCTTGAAGGTTTCGATATTGTAACGGTTCTGAAAGTACCAGTGATGGAAAGTGATTCCACAATGTGGTTGTGCGTGTTAAAAAGTTTCAAGAAAACCGCACTGCAAAAACTACGGAATCTTTACAATAATATAGCTTATCCATCATAATAACCTATAGGTTATAAATTACTAGAACCGCGGGCACAGCTATTACAAAATATTTGTATTTATCATAATGATTATTATTGGGTATTTTCAGTCTTATTACTGCGCTGCATCTTCTGCTCCTTCCTTAAAACCTTCATTTGGATTCACCATAATATGTCCTTCTCTTTCATTCATCCCTGTTCGCAGTCATCTCTTTATTCACACCCTTTTTTACCATACCATCTTTCATGCCGTCCACCCATCTCTTTTTCGGCCTTGCTCTGTCCTTATAACCAATCACATTCATATATAACATTTTCTTTAAAATATTCTCTTCATTGTTGCACATTACATGTCGAAACATGACAGACTACTCTTCAACTTTTCCGACTCTGCCGCTACTTTCTTACTTCCTCTGATGTATTCATTCTCATTTTCTTCATTGTTTTCATCTCCACAATCGCATTTCAGTTATATATATTCTTCAAAGTTCAATCATTCTTCGATACTAACGCTCCTTTCTTACTTCTTCTGGTGTATTCATTCTCTATCTTCTTCATTGTTTTCTCCATCTCAATATTTCAGATATATATATCTTGTTCAAAATTTTATTAACCTGCAATTATTTTTCTCAATATTGGTATATTCCAATTGGTACGGTATAAAAATTTTATAATAATCTCATGATAATTCACACAGCGCCATCTGACCCAAGTTAAGCTAGTTAAAGCTTGTGTTATGGGTACTAGATAACTGATACAAATACATAGATATATATTTTTTTAAATACATACATATTATACATAGAAAACACCAAGACCAATCCAAACAATCATACTCCTGAATACAAAATTTTGTGCCATGCGAGGAATTGAACCCGCGACCATCAGAAGTACATAAGTGCGCTAAACCGTCAGACCACTTAACTTAAATTTACCATGTAACTATTATTTACTAGTTGCGTGGTAATCCCAGTGAAAATAAATATATAAGCGCCTGCATCACCGTTAAGGCCATAAAGCAAGTAAGCTTAAGTAAACTTAAAGCTGGCGTGGGATCAGGGGCGGATCGTGAATTTGTGGGGCCCTGTGCTAAATCTACCCAGGGACCTACCTAATTATAGTACTCAACTAAAAAAATACACCGACCAAAAACAAGCGACCAGATATTCCCCGTTCCTTTCTATAGACGCGCACTTGCATGGGTTGATTGATCTCAGGGTTGCCAACCTTATGATAGATTTTTAACATTCTAGATATTTTCTTATATTCTAAATAAATATCGTTTCAGTGGGGAGTGGATACCCTTTGTATCCGGAGCCCTGGGCTACAGCCCAAAAAGCAAGGTTTTTTAACATATTAGATATTTTTTTATATTCTAAATATCGTTTCAGTAGGGACTGGGGGCCCGAGGATACCTCGGGGCCCTGGGCTGCAGCCCAAAAAGCCCTTAGGTAGATCCACCCCTGCCCAGGATAAATCAGTTTAACTAACACTGAAGGCAAAGACTAGGTTAAATCTGTGTAACCTTCGATATCTCACGTTACGGTCACAAGAAAACTGTTTTGTAAACTCATAAACCAACGGATACTTAGATTAAACGGTTTTATTATCGCCTACATGAGCCTGCAACTTCATACTCTAGGTTTTTTTATAATGGTGGATTATAGAATTGTGTACTTGTCTGCTCTACCGATATGTCTTGGTGGAGGATAATGAGATCAGCAAGGTTAGGTCAGTTATGACGGTAACTATTCTAGGAAACAACTACGAGGAGGTTCATTTGACATGATACATTGGTAGCAGTGGGTTACTAGTTACCAATCGTTTGATGATCTCAGTGGTCTAGCGCAGGGGTTCCCAAATAGTTTCTGCTGCGTACCACTTCAAAAAAGATCTCAAACCTTGCGTACCAATTGTAGCAACCACACTAATATTATAAATGTGAAAGTTTGTGAGTATGTGTGTATGTTTGTTTTACTGATAGCCGCTCGTACCCCTTGATACAACTTCACGTACCCCTGGGGGTACGCGTACCACTAATTGGGAAACACGGTAGTTTTGCACACTGCTATACTTCCGCATGTTTGATTCCTCGCACGGTTTAAACATTTGTATTCATGAGTATGATTGTTTGTATTGCTCTGGATATTTTCTATGTGAGGGGAGGTGTGTTGGCGCTACCGTGGTAGATTACCGTCGTAAAAGCCGTGTCCACAGAAACGATTTATATTTGTTTATTTACATTATTATTACATCTGTATATATGTATGTTAGTCTGTATTGTATTTATACTATGGGTTATTAGTAACCTGATATAAATATATATTCATCCTTTACCATATTCATAATTTAAGAGATACGCTCTTGTCGCGGTGGAGCTCTTGCCACTTTCCACTATCTTCCATGATACGCTTTAATATGTAATATATGTCATCATCACTATCATCACCATCATCATCATCATCATCATCATTTGCTTCTTCCATACCTCATTCATATGTGCTTTAATATGTAATCTATGTCATCATCACTATCATCACCATCATCATCATCATCATTTGCTTCTCCCTTTCCTTACCTCATTTATTTGGGCTTTAATATATATATTTATTTACATATAAACGTTAAGTATTTCCAACAGTACCCATAACACAAGCTCTACTTAGACAATACACACATAATATCACTCATAAATGGTCATTCCAGAAGACTAGTATGTTGTGCCTCTACTCTTAGCATTTTAGAAGTTGGGTAAAAAGGTTTTAGGATTTTATCTTTTAAGGAAACGTAATAAGTAATAGAATGTTCTGTGGAAACTTATCAAACTTGTATCGAACACCGATACTTGCAATACGCAATCTAACTTTACCTATTCAAGATTACTCAGTTACGATAGTCAGCTGCTTAGCGATCAGTTAAGCAGTAACTACTATAATTAGACAGACAGCCTCGGTGACCTAGCGGATTAGCACACCGCCTTACCTAAAATGGGTTCTGCTCATTTAATACGAACATTTGCTTTTTCAATCATAGTTTTTTTTAAAGTAAAATCACTGTAAACTCTTGAACAGAGATTTCAGAGATGCTTCCTCTAGCGTACACCTTATTTGTGGAATGACCAACCTCCCGAAGTTTTCTCGCGAGATGAATGAAGGAATGGGGTATTTCAAGAAGGAACTTTTAAGAACCTAATTGTACTAGATTATCTAAGGGTCGACGATGCTCACGTGACTCCCCTGGTGTATCTGGCGTCCATAGGCTACGATAACCGTTTACCATTAGATGCACCGTAACCTTATTTGCCATCGTTGTTAAAACCAAGCTATATTATAAGCCTACGTAATACTGTAAATCCAACTTTACTACATTTGAAGTCGGCCATAATTAAAACCCAATATCAATATCAAATCTATTATCTAAATTTAGCTCGAAATGTTACATTACATAAACTTTACTATTGAAACTGAGTCAAGAGCGAAAACAGTAAATCCGATGCAGTTAATCCGATATGCCTGTTACTATGATAAGGCGATGTTCAAATTCTCTGAAAAGGCATATAGCGCTAGCATATTTTAACGAGTACTGAGAAATTTCAGGAATAAATTCTACGTTGTAATATTATATTGTACTCGCTGTACCCGCGACTTCGTCCGCGTGGACTTTAACTTAATTTTCTAAAATAAAAGTGGCCTAAGTTACTCCTTATTACATCAACTGCCCATAAAAGATTTATTTACCACCTACCCGTTGTTCTTCAGTTTACCCGTGATCATGACGGTTGAATCCCCGAAATATCGGGGATGTATTGTATTGTACTGTATGTTGGACTCCAGTCTCCGCAATTAGCCTCTCATTCGGGCCGTTGTGCGTGCAGAGCCAGACTACTAAAATAGTCAGCCAAGCTCCTCCCAAAAGCGCAGAAGACTCCTGGTGTTTTCACAGGCTTCACGGAACGACCTCACCGTTCCGAGGATTTGTTTTCGTTGTGGGACCACTGCCGCGCACTCCAGGATTACGTGAGCCGCCGTTACTTCAGCTTCAAAGCAGCCCCAACAAAGGGGACTGTCTGTAGCATCAATTTTGTATAATTGTTTGTTTAAGGAACAATGGCCCGTTATTGTCCCTATCATTATTTTAAAGTTATACCT